GTGATAATAGGAACAGCTCAGTCCCAGTAGTATAAGTAGAAATCAATTACTGGCCTGACAATTAATCTTGCAAACCACATGCATTCTGAAAGTCTGTTAGTTCCCAGGCATTGGTACTGCAAACATTGAATTATTCTGCTTACAATTTTATCAAGGTATTCCAGATATCAAAAAACATCCCAAAGTATTTTTAAATAAATGTTTAAATAAAATTATATTGCATCTTTTATTTCTACAATTAAGAATATTTACATCTAGTCTATGTTGTTTTGGCTTAGATTTGTGGCTAAGAAATTGCGTTAAAGCAGTACAAGTGGGAGGAAGAAATATTACAGGAGTGATGAATGTTGACACATTGATGAATGTTGAATCCTACATCAAATCTTCACGGTTGAGAGCCCCAAGACACAACCAACTACTTCATAACAAGACACTGCAATGTATCACAAAGGAAAACGATGACAACAGCTTGTCAGCTTTTTCAGCTCTTTAGTGAAGAGCAGGAATGAAGTGAGGGAGAGGTAGGGCTCCATAACACCAGCCCTAGGTGTCTTATAAATCCGAAATTAGAACGTGCTATAAGTCCTGTGTCAACAGAGTTCCACTGCAAGACATGAGAGTCTACCTTCTAGCACGTCAGCAGTTCAAATAATAAGCTATTGCTAAATTTACTATACAGCATTAAAAAAAAAGCAATAAAAAGAACAAAATCAACCAATTTCTACAAACTTCAGTTTACCCATTCAAAAAACACACTAATATTAACTTATCAACGTAAGTGCTCAGAAAACTACTTTAAGATGCTTTCAGATACACTAAGATAGTATCTGATTTGTAACAGAGAACAGATACAATTATCGAATGTGAGAACTTAGCTGTGTTTGCTTCTTAGTTGAAAACAGTTTCTACAGGAGGACTGAAACCTCAATCTAGTGCCTACATTTGTCACTATAGTATCATATTTAGTTATTGTGGTTTCCTTGTTGTCTATGCATCACACATACTATGCTTTAAAAGAGATGGAAAAAAATTTATTCAGTGTATCCTAGTCTTCCGTAGGAATACAGAGAAAACTGATGTATTAATGCTTATGGAGGCTGACTTGCAAAAGCATCACAGTGAGATGCTTTAACATCACTTGGTCAGCTAAGACATTGCTCTTTGCTCCTCAGCAGGCATGTGTTAATTGACTTGCATATAGTTACTTTGTGTATGACGTGTTTTTGTAAATCCTGACTTATCTCACCATTTTCAGATAACTGAAACCTGAATGTACTTTCCATTAGACAAGTAATTAGTTAAACCATAATGACAACACTATAATTATTTGGGTAAGAGACATTAGAAACTATTATTAAAATATCACCCTTTTTCTGACCTACAGAAAAGCCAGAAAAGACAACCTGATTGCATGCCGTTAGAAGGGACATACACGAAAAACAGTGAATAATGAAATAACTACATGGAGGTAACATATTATTTAGTTTTAAATTGCTTCAGTAGGCTAAATAGGTGTATCTCTTACCACTCATTCAAAATTAGAGCTATCCACATCTTGAAGATACTGTTTTAATTCGGTTACTTTAAACAAAATTAATTCAATGAAACATTAACCCAGCTGATTTTCAAATATTTTAATTGGGATTTGACGATCCTTTTAAATTACTGTTTGCATGATTACAGTGTAGGACCTTCTTGGAAAGCTGTATATTATAAGCATGGAAAATGTATGATTCTGAAAATCATTTTTTATTCAGGCAGTATTTACCTGTATAAACAGATCTGAACTTTCAGTGCGTTAACCACAAATACCTAAATGACCCAAGTCCTCTTGACTGGATTCACAAAATTTCAGGAAAAGAGGCAAGTATAAGAATATAACTTCTTTATTCCTTCTTCAAAAAAAGTCCTTGCTTTCTGTCCTTAGTCTTCTTTCACATACATCATATAAAATCAACTGTTTAGAAGAAACATTGCAAAGGTATACAATAAAAAAAGCCACGAAAATTATACTTCTGCAGGGGATTAGCAAGGAAAAAGCTTGATCCTGTTCAGTTTTAGGTTTTGCAAAATCTTTAATATATCTCTTCTTTTTACTGCAGTAGACAAACAATTTTTAATTATTATTTCTGAGCTGAGAATAAAAGAGATGATAAGGTACACCATTCACATAAATGAACAAGTAGCTCACGTTAGTTCAAGTAACAGAAGCAGTGTGGCCCTGTTAGGTTGGTATTTTGCCCAGGCTTGTTTCTCAGAACAGTTCACTAAATGGAAACACTATAATAAAACTACACAGCATTCCTACCCAAACTGGCTAATATTATAGAGAGAAAATATAGAAGTACATAGTTCAGTCATCAGATATTACTCTATGGAAGATAATGAATTGAAATGTGATAGAAATATTTACATAAACATTGTAAGGAAATGCAACATATTGGTAAAGTTACACTATAATTGTTTGATTTTAAATATTTCTGCTGTAATGATCTAACATAACTGCAGTTCAGACAAAAGCAAACAGGAAAAGGACACAGAGTGCCAACAAACACCTGAAAAACAAAAAGATAAGCTGCTCACTTAAAGGATTGTGGGACTTTTTGGTAGGATTTTCTTTCTTTTAAAATTAGAAATAGAAGTACAAAGACCAATAAAACTCACATGTATGGGCGTATCATGATCTTTCAGCTGTTTCCATATCATTATTGGACAATCAGGAGTTGAAGGACGCAGATACTTAAGTGTGATCCCTAAAATTTAATGCTTATGTAACATGTGACAAGGACTGAAGATATAATGAAGATAATTTTGGATGGGCTACTTTCACTAAAGATACCTTTTTTTGAAAATGTGACCAGCCTCAATTCATATCACTGAAACTCTGTACCATTGCATAGACAGATTTGCACAAATACATACTGGGGAAAAAAAAAACAACACCTGTGTTCTTTGATTTTGTTGCTGAATAGAATCTAGTTAGGAAATGAAGTGCTCTTTTGTCTCTACACTGATGATTTGTGGGCACCAGCCTGAACCCAGAAATTGTTTTATTGCACTGGAAAGATACAGCAGGAAAAAAAACAAAACAAAACAAAACGGTAGGGAGGAGAAAAACTGAAATAGTAAATGTACTCAGCTCATGTTTCATTTACTTGTTTTAGCATGCTATCTTTTCTGCTGTATGATGCAGTGCTCTGTTGGAAAAAAAAAAAACAAAAAAACAACAATAAACACCACCACCAGATAGACTCTGAATTCAAGCCTGCAAACAACTGCTTTTGTCAGAAGTGATACAGAAGAGAACATTTCCTGCACTACACTGTACAAAAGACTGGTAAAATGTATGTAATAACCCAGCTTACAATGTACAATGTACTGTGTGATGCTACTAATGTTCAAGAAGTAAGGAGGACATAGAAAAGAGATATAAGCCAAAGCAGAAAGGGGATACTAAGGAATCAAAATAAACAAGAAAATTCACTTGGCTGCTAAGGGGCAAACTATTGCCAAACAGGATACCTAATTGAATAGACGTTTTTTGCACCTTAAGTTTAAATTAACCAATTTTCATTCAGCTCATTTTCTTCATACAACACTAGATTCAGTAAAGAGTACTATTCATAGTCTTTGAAAAATATTCTATTCTCATTGACCAAAAAGAGTTGCCTAGTATTACAGAATTTCTGAAGGGGCACTTGTTAGGTAATAAAAAGCTGCATGTAAACTCTATTAAAAAAAATAGTAGATAAATATTTAAGACAAAGAGCATACTTCTTTGAGCCTAAACAGTTGATCTAAAGAGAATAAGTAAATCCAAGTTCTATACCTGTATTAACTGCTTTTCAATTTTCAAAGACAGGTTACTTTATCATTAACTATATTGAAACCCAATGATTTATCTAGAACTAGCACAACCAGCTTACACTGGAAGTAGAGGTACTTGACAGTCTCATTTTATACCCTATCACAGGCTGAGGTACAATACAGTGGTAATAAGAAATGGGGGGGTTTTGCCACTTAACATTGTGAGGAGGCTACAAAGTAATTTCTATGCGCATTTCTTAAAATCAGTACACAGAGAGATTGAAATTACTTCCACAACTATTATTGACTACCCAAAAATGATTTTTTTTTTCCTTTTGAGATATCGAGTATAACAAGTATCATCCTTAATACGGAAAGAAAAAAAAATCTTGTGTAGCACTGGTGTATTTTTAATACAAATACAATATAATAACAGCAGTTTTTTTCTTTAAGGGTATAAGAATGAACATCAATAATTGTTAGAAATCAAGAGAACAAAGAACTTTATTTGACAAAACTAAGTATCTCAGAGGATGATCATAAGTAGATGCAAAGCACCCAACTTAACAAAGATGTATTAGAGAACATATATAAGTATATATAACAAGAAACAGATAATATTTAAAAAGACATCAGAATCAATTATTGCTTAAATATCAAATTGTAGCACAGAACACAAATCCCAATCATTGAGCTTTTGCTCTATATTCATTTATAAATAACAAGCTTATCCCTTTTCTTCACTTTGAAGCATTAATGCAACAAAAAAAAAAAAAACAAAACACAAACTTTAGTATATTCAATAAAATCATAAGTCAGTAACTTTCAGCTAGCAGAAAACATGCTGATAAACCGAAAATAAATGCTGGCTGAGTTACTTGTCTTGCACACATTTAGTGAAACATTTTTGTAAAAGCAATTCCTTCCTTAATGAAAGCCTTTTTAGTTCTATTTTAACTATTCGTCTTTTTGTTCATTATTCAGTTTGTAGTTCTGTATTAAAAGCACTTGAACATCAAGAATAAATATGACTACACAGTGCTCTGTATCTCTTTAAATTCAATATTTAAAGCTGTCAAGTCATGACAATTTGAATTGTTACAATATATGTCAATCTATACTGATAGCAGCAAAAACAAGCTTTTCCACTTCAAATTTAGCTATTTTACTAATCTATTAAGTGAATTTCCTACCAGGCAAAATAGCAGAAGGAAGAAGTCCAATCAGTCCAAGGAATCTCTTCCTAAAGAGAAGACAAACATTACTTGTATCATACTTGGAGCTAAACAAGGTTTTCAAACCAGAGAAGCCTAAAATAAAAACTTATTGATCACATTTAGAATTGCATTGCCCTGCAAGTGTAGAAAAATTCTGCTATCTTTTGAAACGCATATCTTTATAGGTCTTATCGCACCATGGGGGAAAAATGAACACAAGAACAGGGCAACAAGCAATTCAAATTGGTGTCTTCAAGGCAGCCACTGTATTTTCACAACTCCAAAATATAATCATCAGATCAGATTACTGCATCTTGCTCATCAAGAGCAATTGATGCTAACATATATAAAAACATACACAAAAACACCCATATCAATAGTTAAGTGTGATGACTATCATTTTTGATGGGAATACATTTAATCCCAGCACCAGTAAAAGAATGAGTTATCTGGACACAAAAATTATGCAATTCCAATTTTTTTTTTAATTTTTTTTTTTTTAATTTTTCACTGATGTGTCCTCTCCACAGTCCTCTCTATCTGTAGGATCCAACTACCAGTCTGTTAAATCATGGCGGAGATAACAGAAGGAAGAAAAACACCTCTCATAGAGCAACCCATTGCCATTGCAGGCCCTCATTAAATCAAAAAGATTTAAATCAATAAATATTTTCTTTGAATAAAGAAAAGTGATTCTACTCAACAAGAAATAGGATATTAAAAACAAAGATGACTCTGCTCTGATCCTGTTAAAGCTGTGCCACTGAGAAGAAAAGGATTCAAAGTCTATAGGGACAGAAATAAAGTGTGAGATTTATCCCAAAGAATAGGGCATTCAGCAGGAAATGACATCCTCATCTCTAATTCATGCTCCCAAGACAATTTAAATTCATGCTGTCACACTTTAGGATAAATTACTTGGAGAGATGAGACAAGTTTGAAAACTCCTAAATAGAACCAAACTGAATCTTGCAGCTCAGATACATAACTGAAGATAGATTGTTAAATAAAAAGTTACTCCATCTCACCATCCTTCACGTAAATGTGAAAAGCAAGCACATACACCTAACTTTAAGAATCTCTGAATACAACAGTGTGTTTGGTGGGGCCTGAAAATACTGACAAAATAGAGTCACTTAGACAACTCAGTTGAAGACTGTTCTGGTTTAAGAGTAAGTGCAGAGAAGTTCTGCAGCAGTTCCAGCTGCTGCAGAAATAAAACCCTAGCCACTCTAGGGATATAAATTAAAAAGTTTTCTGACTTCAGGCATCTTCCCAGTTAGGCAGCAGCTGTGCGAGATTTCTTAGATCTCTTTTTTAGAACCTCAGTACTTAAATTCCTCTTAAAGCTTGCTTTAGGTATGCAAGTCCTTTATTGGATCTCACCAATAAACTCCCTCTTTGCTCATCTGTATATGTCTTTTGCTGGTATTTTCAGCTGTTATACTTTGCCTTCTTTCTATTTTTCATGGGATCCTTACCTAACGTAGTTAACCATTTATCCCATCTGTAGTGGCTTTTTTTCTATTCAATAGTGCTATCATACTTAGTAAGTGTAATTAAATAACTTTGAATGCCCTATTTCAGAAGTTAGTTAGAAGAGAGTTAGAATTTCTTGAAAAACCCACGCTGCAGTACTGCACAAAAATGCCAGAGATAGCTGTAGCTGTCTAGATCTGATATACTTACCTGGACGTTGAAGGCCAAGCTGGAAAAGCAACTTTGTTGCAGCTCATGCCTAAAAAAAGAGTTTAAAAAGTACTTCTGCTAAAGGCTGTACTGCAGAAAGGTCAGTACTTGCTTTACTGCAGAAATGCTGAGCATTTTTGCACTTAGAATTCTGCCTGCTGGAGCTACCTTATTAAAGCTCCAAAAAGTCTACCAAGCAACAACAAACTCAAACAAAACTCATTTGCATCTAAGGATTCATTATTCCTTATTCCTTAGCCACATCTGAAGTGATTCAAAGATCACTGAGGTCTTCAGAAGTTCAAGATTTTTCTAAGTACAGTTTGATATACTCTCTCATATTTGCTTCTTTCTTTTTTTCTTTTTTTTTTTTTTTTTAAGAAAAAGTATTAATAGTTTCTTAGCAGAACAATTCACTCTTAGGAACAGTAACATTTAAAAATTAAAAAAGTATGAACATTATATTACCTAACTGAATCTCCAACTAGTTTTATTTTGTTCTACGTACCCTAGCAAAATTTACAACAGTTGGATAGGTAACTTTACCTTTAAAGAAATAGAGGCAAAGTAGCTGGAAAGCAATTACCACATTTCTCATGAGATAGAGCAACTTTCCTTGGATTAGCTACTTTTTTCTTGAGATATACATCAAGAGAGACTGTCAGACACAGCTCCAGACTTCCAGGCATTAAGCTTCAGGTCCACTGCCTGCTACTGCCTGTTCTCTCAGCCTGCATTGGTTTTGCTTCATTTTGTTTACAGTGCTGTTTATTTCTGAAAACCTTAAATCAAGATAATTTTATATAATTTACAAGAGGCATAATTAAAGACAAAACACTCTTATGGTCATCTTGTATTTAATCAGGCTGCACGCGCTGCGTGTACAATTGCTTACAGAAACATCAAATCAATAGCTTAAAATCATAAGCAATGTACTTCTACCTCACTATACTGAAGGCTTAACATTTTGTAGGCACCCTGCTGAATGAGGGCAACCAAGACTTACACAAGCAGTTGTAAAATTCTGCTCTACAGAAGGCAGGGGAAGGACAATCCCTGGAGTCCTTCTTAGAACAGCCCACACAAACTGTGCAACTGCACAGATATGTGTTGTTGTCTGAAAGTATTATTTATCTCATCCTACGGTAGGAAGAAAAAAAAACCTCGCATGTGTTATTTATAATCAAGTGTTGGTGGAACTGTGTGTGTTATCTAATCTAGTAAAAAGCTGCATGTCTTTTATTCCCTTCTTACGTAACCATCATATTCAGATAGTAACACAGTGAAATATGAGAAAACTGAGTTTTTTCTTAGGCATGCCAGTGATAGAATACTGCAACCAAAACTAGGCTTGAAGGAACAAATGTAACTTAAATATGTAAGCACAAACACTCTGGATAACAGTATGGTTTAACGAGGCCTAGAATCCTGCTTCCAAGAGCGATAAAAAAATGTGCATCTAAAAATTAGGACAAGGTGAACATACAGGCAAATTTGTCCTCAAGTAATGTGCCACATTCCAGAGATCCGTGTCCTGGGAATTTCCTGACAAGGAAGTGATTAATTTTATGTAAGAGATTCTTTACTATGAACTTCTTTCAACACATCTTGAGCCCAACCCTAATGCGCCATGATCCAAAATTATCTGTTATCCAGAGGCTTCCCTACCTGCAACATACTGCTGATGTATTTAACAACATATTTGAGGTCTTTAGTGAAATGCTTCAGTGTCTTTCTGCAGTCACACAGAACAAGAAAAACACTTTTTCTATCTAAATCTAGACAATGTTTTTTGGATGCATGAAGTCCTGAATTTCCAAGAGAAATGAGGACAGCTACGAATGTAGAGCAGAATGTGTCACAAACATGAGCAGACAGTAAAGGCTTACAGTGACAGTAAGTATACTCACACAAAGAATAAGCTGTGAAGGAAGATACTAAAGATAGATTTCTAAAACTGGTGGGAGCAGGATAGTGTCAGGCTCCCTATCAACCCATTCATCCATCCAATCCAAACTCTCATCTCTCACTGTTTCTAATTGGTTTGAAGTGGAGGACTGGTGGATAAAGCTGTGCTCTTCTGCCCTAAGACACTCCAGTTAGCAAAGATCTATTTTATTCTTGTAATCTGGGAATAAAAAAAATTTTTTAAAAAGCTGATTTGAGCTGATAATACTGTTCAAATGACCAGTATGTTAACATGTGAACTTTCAAAAGATTCATTGGAAATGGTGAAAAAGGGTTTTTATTTCTACTTTATTATCATCCTAACTCTAGCATTTCAATGAATTTCCACAACCCCCTGAATGTTGCCCTGTTTTTCTGTTTCCATGGGTAATCTAATCTGAAATGAAAAAGTATTGCTCTCTTTGATGCCAATTCACCCTATTTCCTAAAGAGTTTTGTTTGAAATCTCTGCTAGTTTCCTTGAAACTTTGTCCTTGTATTTCCTCATAAGCTTAAAAAAAAAAACCCAGAACCACTGCAACTATCCATGGTGACTCAAACCATTCCACCTTATCCCACCACCATTCAAGTCCACACTCCAAGCACCCTTTACTTCAATCTTTCCTGAGGCTGTCACTTCCTAACTTATGTTGACTACTTTCATGAACAGTCATTTTAAGACTGCTATCTCTCCACATTTAAAAGCTGTCCAACGTTCTCCCTTGATATTTCAACTCCCACAGTATCTCTCATATTTGACTTCAGGAAGCAGAAAGGCACTGTAAACGCAAAGGATAGGCTTGAGAGGGAATGAGTTCCGACAGCACAGCCGGATGTCACGCCATGGACTCCATGCTTTCTTTAGAGGCTTAACAAACACGTAGAAACCCAAAACATCCCCCCATCAAAGCGGGCTGCGGTTACGCTTTAGGCAGAGATCAGGGGCTTCCCAAAAGCGCTAGGCTCGCTATTTTATGCTCCCGGAAAACTGGAGATTCTCTGCAACAACCGGCAGTTACGGCATTATCTGACCAGCGACTGCATCAGCCGCCATCCTACAAGCACGATACACAGCGAACAAAAAACGTTCGAGAAAATCGGCTGCTCCGCCTCGCACCGCCTCCGGCAGCGATCCTAACGCGTGACCCCCACCGGAGCTAGAGACGCTCCAAGGAGCTGCAGCACCTATAAAAGCCACAATCCGAAGCCGCAGGACCAACCCCTTTCCCTGCAGCCGTCCCCTTTTCCCCCACGTCCCGCTCCCCTCCAAGACAGAGCAGGGCTTTACCCAACGCTCGCTCCCTAACGGCCGCACGCGCCCACCCATGCCAGCCCGCCCCCGCTTGACTCACGCCCAGTCCGCCCGGCGCCAACCCCGCCCCTCCCACCCTGTTACGGAACGCGCGCGCGGCGCGGCGTTTTGTAACCGCCTCGCTCCCGCCCCTGGAGCGCCCACCAATGGCGAGCCGGCCCGGCTATCAGCTGACGCGGTTCTTTATGTAAGCGGCGGGGCGAGGGCGCATGGAGACGTTTGAAAGGGGTGGGAGAAGTGCACACGTATCCGCACCCCCTTCTGCCCCGGGTCGCGCGCGCGGAGGCGCGCACGTGACACGCCCCCCGCCCCGCACGGAGGGTGCCTCGCTTCCTCCCCCGCCCCGCGCTGCCAGTGCCTGGGCGCCTTGCGCAGCGCCGGGCCCGGCGGCCGGAGCGGCAGCGCCACACCCCCCTCAGCCGAGCCGGCAGCCGATGGCGTTCTCTCCTGTGACCGTGGGCTCGGACGCGTCGCCGGAGCCGGGAGGCGGCGGGCGGCTCGGCGAAGAGGCGGACGGGGAGCGGAGGGGCCGCCTGAAGGAAGCGGCGGGCTCCTCCCTGGCGTCGCTGTGCCTCGGACCGCTCGCCGGCCCGCGGCGCTTCGGGACCCTGGTGGAGTGCCTGGTGCTCAACTACCGCCTGCGGCAGGGGCCGGGCCGCGGCCGGGAGCGCGGCGCCGAAGGCGCGGCCGAGGGCCCGCTGCGGTGCTGCGGCTGCGGGCGCTTCCTGAGCGAGCCGGTGACCGTCCCGTGCGGGCACACCTACTGCCGCCGCTGTCTGCGGAGAGAGCTGCGGGCCCGCTGCCGCCGCTGCCGAGACCGGCTGCTGCCGGCGGGGGGCACCGGCGCGGCCGCCGCCCCGCTGCGCACCAGCGTGGTGCTCAGCCAGCTGGCCGAGAAGTGGTTCCCGAGGGAGTGCGAGCGGGCGCGGGCCGGCGGGCGCCTGGAGGAACTGCTGGCGCAGGGCCGCTTCCGAGAGGCGCTGGGCGCCGCCGGGCAGGCGCTGCGGGCAGGTGAGCCGGGTGCGGAGGGGGAGAGGCGGCGTCCCGTCTCCTGAGGGAGGGACGGGGAAGGATGCGCTCGGCGCGCTGTGTCTCAGCGCTCTGAAGTTTTCCAAGTTTGTCGCTGGGACCCAGGGAGCCACCCCGTGGGCTGAGGTGCGCTCCGGTGCCTCCTTTCCGCCGCGCTGACCGGTGCGTTCCGTGGCGGCCGCGCCCGCGTTACCGCGCGTAACCCCGTTTCCTGACGGAGACCCATTTCCAGTGTCACCGCTCGGCTCCGAAGGGCCGGGCCCGGTTGCATAAGCGCGAGGCACGGCGGGGACAGGTTGTGTAATGGCGGTGACATCATGGCGGGCGGAGCCGCGCCCCGTCTGGTGCCGGGCGAGGCTGCGGGGGGCGGGCGGGACCGCCGGGCGGACCGCGGTACGGCCGTGGCTTCGTGCACCCTGCGGGGCTCGGCCCGGGGGTGGGCACACCTGGGTGGTGCTGGCACAGCGACCCGCTGTGTTGGTTTTGTGCATCTGTGGGTTTTTAGGGCTTCGACAGCCCCACAGGTCCCATTTCCTATTGGAAGTGTTGGAACAGGTTCTTTTCTTTTTCTTTCTTCTTTTTTTTTCTTTGTGTGTGCGTGTGTGGCGTGTTCTGAAGTACAGTGTTGACTTACGTGGGTCATAAGGAAATTTGTTGAAACGAGAAAGAAGTTACTTTTGAGAAACACAAGAGGAATGGTAACATTCACATAGGTAACGCGTGCTGTGCAGGCGTTGGAAGGAATTACCTTATGTAAAGGAAGGCTTTAATCCCAACACACCAGCTCTCTCACCAGAGGTTGTACAGTCACAAACCTGTTCCTGCTGGAAGAGCCTTAGGAGGTCTGTTGACCAACTCTGTGTTCAAAGGGCAGGCGCTGAATTAGAGCAGTTTGCTGGAGGCTTTGTACTGTTGGACCATGAAAACGCCACCAGGGCGAAGATTCCGCTGCTGTCAGGACGACCTGTTGAACGGTTAATTACCATCGTAGTGAAACATTTTCTATTTACATAAAGGCAGAACTACCATTGTTCTGGTTTATAAGGCATTGTCACTTGCTTTTCCTGCTGTGCATGTCAGGTTCTGTGATCTAGGCAGCCTCTTCTGGGATTTCAAGAGGCTCTTGGGTTCTTCTGCTGCCTCCGATGTTTCCTCATTAAACAACACCAGTGAGCTCAGCCTCTTCTCAGGTGTTTGCACCCTCGACCATTGGAATTGACCCTGTTGTACTGCATTCATAAATACTGCGTCCTGCAGTTCTTTGAACACTGGTGCAGAGTGCTTCTTTTACCAACTGAAGCTAGGGAACCAGGTGAAAATCATGTAGGAGCAGACCAGAAGCAATCCATTTATGATATTCTCATGCTGACAGTAGGCAGAAGCAGATGCTTTGAGAGTAAAGAAATGAATGCTTACCTGGTGTTTTTTGTGTGTAAACTTTTGTACAGTTTTCTATTTGTGTGCAGTAATATATGGTGCACACATTTCTGCACTGAAGATATTCAGTACCTTTTTGTTTTTAATTGCAGTAATTTGTATTGATTTGCTAGGAGTGAGTGGTCTCTATTTAATATACTGGGCTGTTAAAATTGACTGTTCAAACAAACTATTTCTGGTTTTGTTTAATATCTGATGTAAGGAATTGAAATATGAGGGCTGCTCCAAAAGTAATGCCTCCTATTTTACTATGTTGGTCCATGATGTCAGAGGCAGATGATGATATGGCAAGTAGAGGTTGAACCATCCCACCAATATTCGATTACATTTTGTTGCCATGCAACAGATGATAGAGCTTGCTGGATGTTTATAGAGACCAAACATTGGATATCAGCACAGTGAGGCAGTAGGTGGTGCATTTCAGCAATGACATCAGCAACATGAAAGACAAACCCCCATTCTGGATCGCCATGCAGATTTTTAAGAGCACAGCATACAGGCTCTTGTTTGGTGCTGGTAAATGTATAGCTGATGGTGGTGACTGTGTCAAAAAAAAATAGTGTTCTGCAGCTGAGGATTTGTTACATAGTGTAATTGTACTTGTTGCATTGTAGCTTCCATGGAAATCAATAGGCATTACTTTTGAAGTAGTCCATATAGTTTTATGTCATCTTGTTAAGTGGCAAGCATCAAAATGCATTCTGCAATGTTGTAAAACTTTTTTTTTTCCACAATACAAAGCCTAGGAATTAAATTCTCATTTTAAAACACTCTCAGACATAGGGTTTAATTTTTGGATGGTCCTCTGTGGAGCCAGGTGTTGGACTTGATCTACATGGGTTCCTTCCAACTTGGGATATTCTGTGATTCATTGGCAGTTTTTGTGTAGCAGCAGAGTTGAGATCTAGTTAAACTCCTTGATTTAGACCTTAATTTTGTAGCAGTTCAGTGCTTTTCTCTTTGATAAAGAAAAAACTATCCATCAGCTCTAGATTTGACTTACATTTTTATCTTCAGACTACCCCTAACCCAATCTTCCTGAGATTTGGGACTCCTGAGATCATCTTCTACCCTTGAAAGTCTGAAAAAGATGAAATCGTTCTGATCAAGTGCGAACAGGCTGCTAGTTTATTACAGAACAAAGATTCCCACTCACTGCTGCCTCTGAAGAAAGGAATTTAGGTCAATATTGACTCTGCTGGACACCAAAAAGTCAAATGCAATAGAAAAGAACTGAGCTCCTGCCTCAGGAGGTTACAATAGTCACAAAGCCACAAGAAAGCAGGCATCAGTGTTCTTACATCTGCAGGGTTACGTGTTAAGTTAGACAGTTTTCACCGATTTCTGTTAACTGTCTGAAACATAGAAACAGATTGAGGAGTGTATGTGTTTTAAGGGAAACTGAACTATAGCTGAATCGCACGCTTCGTTTTCATCCATGGAATCTGTTGGCAGTTTTTATTTACTTACCATTTCTTTTCTGTTAAAGTCTTTTACCTGTGATATCTAAATATAAAACAGTATGTTAAAATACTTTGGTTCAGTGACTGGTCTGGCTTGGTGCTAAAGCAGACTTATGTGTAAAACAAGCTAGCATTGGAAATTATGGGAACTTAAACTAGGCATTTAGGGTAGACTTAAGACAGAATATAGAATTGAAATGATTCCTCTGCATCCCTCCAAGGGAATCTTGTTCAAACAAGCTTACAGAACTTAATTTGAGTGTTGTTTACATTACATTAATGTTTAACTTATTTATTTTGGTGAAAAGCACAGGTGTGCAGTTTGCTGTGTTATGAAAGTCATGGTTTAAATGACATAGAGATTTCCTATTTCAAGATACCTGTGCTGAAAGTCCAAAGTGCTGCATTTGGGACATGAGAATTTGTCTTCAAAGAACACACATGAATGTTTTTCCTCTGTGGAGGTGATTATAGCACAACTACTTAAAGCAGGTTGCCAGCTGGCAGCAGTGGTTTTCTGGTGTTGGCTATCTTTTCAGTCCGTGTAGGGGTATAGACTATCTCTGATAAATCATCAGGTGCTAACGCTGTCTGTAGCTATCGCTGGCAGGGGCTGGGCATTATCAGAACAAAGGACAGTCTCAATAAAAAGTCAAATGTTTGAAAGGAGGCTTTCTAATACTTAGACTTTTTAATACTTGAGATTCACTGTGCTTGAAAAATGACAGATTTGTGTTTGTACCATAAAACTAAAATCAGCTCTGTTCTCTACTTCTGTTGTCACAGCAGTATTGAGCAATACTTTATTTTGTCAGCTTTGGTGCTAAATCTTTTAAAATATAAAAGGGTTCAAAAGTTAATCTTGGAAGACATAAGCTTGGAAGTATTGCCACTTTTTTTTTAAATCCAAATACTGGTGAAAAGGCAGGAAGGAGGTACCTCAGTTGTTATAAGATGCAGTACAGAAGAGCGTAGTAAATATTTTTGTACAGTACGGCTTTGACATATCACTATAAAACATCTAATTAAAAAATTACAACATTCCAAATTATTAAGGTTGTTGTTTAATTTTGTCTTCAGATTCCAGTAACTTGATGCTAAGAATCTACAGGGCTGAGTCATACGCTGGCCTCCAAGAGTATAAAACAGCCATAGAAGATCTGAACTTTGTTATTTCTAAAATGCCAAATTGGCCAGAGGTAAGTTGATTTGAACTCCTAATTTTTCAAAATCTACGTTTATCTGCAAACATAAGGTATTTTGCATAATCTTTTCATCAAATGAAGCAAGCTGCTTTAAACACTTGGTTTTCTTGTTTTTCTTTGTAAGTACGTGCGAAGTACTCAAAAGTTTCTTAAAATAGGTACTTGTACGTGAGACAGGCAACTGGTCAGCACTGTAAATTGGAACTGTTGATTCAGGTTTCATCAACAACTTCAGGTGCTTTTATTTCCCATCGCAACACGTGATAGCGATGCTGGATGAAGGGTGATGTGGAGCAGAACTGATTTGTTGAGAAGTACTACAAAGAACTTTCGTGCTGTTTACAGTTGCTTGTTAGCGCTTATTTCTTTTTTTAGGAACAGTGCTTTTATCAGTTCTCTTAAGAAAAGTTTTAAAATATTTACGATCTTAAATTCAGCTGAATGTTATTTGAGTGGGTGGCTGGCTGGAATCATGCAGCCAGCTTTAACTGCTTCAGAGCAGAATTTCTGAGCCATAGGTATTCGGCTCATTGATGTAACTGAGATTTGAAATTTCTCACACTGTATAGAAGTTACTCCTTTTAAAGCTCTGCATTTCCCTGAAGTTTTTATACTTTGACTGTATTTCCCAAAATTGAGAGCATTTTAAGTGCTATTTGTTCTTCGAATATCACGTGAGATGAGTGAGCATTGTTGCCAGTGCAGATTAGGATTTTTGGCTCTACGTTGAGTCAACATTTCTCAGGTTTTTTTGAGTCTCACTGATGAGGAAAAAAAAAAAAATACTAATAGGACAACACAGTTTTCTTTTGCAATTGCTACCAGAGTTTAAAAAAAACAAAACAAAAAAAAAAAACCAAAACATGTAGAGAGAACATCAAATTCTTTTGCAGTATTATTTGCAGTAGTAAAAAATGTGTTTGTTTAGGGCCTTCGTTACTGGCTTCGGTATTTGGAGTTGGGATAGTTTGTGGTGATGTAACTTCTTACAGTTGCCTTCTTTTGTTTGGTGAAGAAACTTGCTGTTTGAGCTGGGAAAGTTTTTCATTGAAAAGCACAGAGAAACTCGTTGGAAGCTGAATTCTGCAAACAGTGCAGGCAACTGGAGAGTCATTGGCCTTCGGAAATGTTACTACTTAAATTTTGCTTATTGCAGCAGCATCTGAACTCAGCACAGCAGGAGCAGCAATTTTTTGCTGCACAGGGACAGATAACTGCTTCGGTCTGGTTTTCTCCTGTGTTGAGCAATTTCATGGCTGCTGCAAATTCAGAGAGCATTGTGCCTTTCTTTCTTTCTCAGACTTCATTTAACTGAGCTTGGTTTGATAGATTAAAATTATTATCTGTGTAAGGAGATGAAGTAACTGTAAGAGGAGGATTAGCGTGCTTTCCTTCTTAATGAAACTGCCCAAATCCATCAGAGAAGATGCACACCCTCATCTGACAGCCTTGTTTAAGATTACTGTTTCATATTGGCAGTCTATAGAAACTGCATTCAGTGTTTTGCTTGTTTGCTTTTCTTTTTCGGTTTCAGTTTTCTTGCCCATTATCCAAAATCTAGTTTAGAATTTTTTTTTTATTGAGCTTCTGTTTATATTACTGCAAACACAACTTTTTTAATTCATGTGAGTTGGGTCCAACATTGTATTTTTGTAAGTTCACCAACATTCAGTAGTCTCATCTCTTTCTTTCCCTTCTACCCTATATAAAAAATAGGAAGCATTTTTTTATTTAGTGTTCAGGAATAAAATGTAGTTGGAGGAAGCAATTCCAAAACTTCATTGTTTTGGATTAGGAATCTATATTAAGATAGATGTAAGGAGTGCGGGGTTGTGGGGATTGTCTTTTCATGTAGGTTAAAGCTATAAGACTTCTGACAAAACAGCAAAAAAGGTGTCCAGTGAAAGCTGTTTCACAAGGATATGTAATAATTTTCGTTGTATTTCCCTCTTCTCCATTTTCAAAACCTCATAGAATAGTGAAATTAAGGCCTTGTGTGGTGAATTCAGCACTAGTCAGGATTTTAAGTCTGTTTTAAAGTCTGGCTTTTATCTAAGCCAGAGCAAACTAACTGGAAGGAGATGAACACCAGCCTATGCCATAGTTATTTTCAGTGTAGGGGACTTATGCTAGGCAAGATATGTGTGTATCAGATATCCTGTGTATGGCTGAAGATTGCTGAAGAGGTGCATTCCTTTGTCATTGAGGGTTCCTGTTCTGACTCTGCTGTAAGGCCTGTAAGGTGAATACTACAGCTCTGTATGTTCACCAGAAGTGTAAACGTGTTTTCTGTTTCTCAGGTCTACTTCCGCAAAGGAAAAGTGCTGCACGACTCTGGCTTTGTAGGCGATGCCTTACAACTGTTTCTACAGTGCTTAGCCCTTGATGAGGATTTTCTTCCAGCCAAGCTAGAAGTAGAAAAGGTGATTTGATAAATCAAACTGGATTACTACCTCTGTTTTGATTCCTTTGTAAAGTTGCTGTTGTGGTAGACAATTGACCATCAAAAAATCTGTCATGCATACGGAGAGAGTAGAGTTGATGGTTTAATTCCTTTCAAGATGTACCATGCAATGTTGGAGAGTCCTAACGTACGGGTTTTGAGGGCACATGCCTCAAAGTATTTATGCTTCTGAATTTGCTTGTAGGTGACTGCAAAGGGAATGGTAACTGGAATATGGTAAATTGAATTATTTAATGCATAGACGACAGCAGCTTTTCTTCAGTAATGAAAACCTGCACAGAAAAATGTTTGTGATATTGAATTGGTAATGTCTGACTCTGAAGAAGTTGCTTACTTCTAGTGGAAGAATTTCTAGATGCATTTTCCTTGATAATACAAACTGCATTGCAAAAACTGTATAATATTTAATTGATAATGTCTAAATGTTCATAGAGATCATCCAGTTCTAGTGGAAATGATTCCAAGATAAATTATGCTTAGTTATACAGATGTATGGATTTCTGCTTATTCCTAACTGTTCTTAAGTATTTGGGGAGTAACTTCATATAAGTTGAATTGTTGGTTTTGGTGTGTAGGTTTATAATGAAACTATATCCAGATCCTCCTTTCACTGTTATGAACAGTTAGCTGTTTGTTTTCCAGACATTGCGTGATGTACTGTCACCAGAGAAGCTAGGAGAGAATTTGAAGGAATCTGCTTGGAGTTCACCACGAAATAAATCTTTTGTGCTTGGTTCTGAGATGACTGAGCCTTACTGCAATTTACAACTTTGTCCTGAGCAGGTAATAGAAATCATAATTTGTTCTAATACTTAAAACTTGCTAATATGCCAGTATCAGACATCCTGATATCCTTATTTGTCATGCTTATTCTCTAACATAAATGCTGGCTCTCTGCAATTGGTTAAATTAGAAGAATTATGATTTGGGAGCGGTGTCTTCTCATTTGGATTTTTATATACCTCATTCAAGTGAACCACTTACTAAAAACTACTGAGATGTTACATTAGTTCCAAAGCAAAAAGTACTTTTTGATATTATTGTTATTAATATTTTTATATTTGTATTTGTTTTTTAGTATAGCTTCAAAGTAAGAAGTTTAGTTTTTCTTCTCTTTAAGATAAATATTTTTTTAATTGTTAATGATAAGCAAATCTGAGAATTATCTTGACTTAGGAAATTCTTCCAGTTAACTGATGAGCTAACTGCCTATCAGTTTGGATTTAGCATTTTTGCATGTTTACATTTTATATTCTTATATGTGTGTTATCTCTTATATACAGTTCTTTTGTTTTATGTAGAGTTTAGGAAGATCAGAGGTACTGGAGCCTGCGATTGGAAGCCTAAATCGTGCACAATCTGCCCATGCTCTTAACTCAACAAAAGCCCTTGCCAAGGAAGATGGCTTAAAGAGAGTATCTTCTGAACCTCTTCTCTCTGGCCAAGAAAAAGGTGCTTTGTTGAAAAGAAAGCTTTCATTTTCAGAGCAGGATACAGTTGTGTGTGAAGATGGAAGAAACAAACACAAAAAGCAAGGAGGTAAGTAATCACTTAATTTAAAATCTAAAGTATTTATTGTCTTGTGCCTTTCTTTGAAAGGTGTGTTTTATTATGTCTTTCTTCAGAAAATACAAACAGGGACATGAAACTGGCTTATGGAACAGTTCCAGGGAATTTGGTTGACATATCAGATTTTGAGTGCTCTTTATGTATGAGGTAAGATTTTTCTCATTGGTTCAATATTTTCATTATAGGTGTTTGACTTCATATCTTTGTCACGTGTTAACTGAGGTGTTTATAGGTTGTGATGAGCTCTAACGTGAGTTAAGAAAGTGACAGTTTCAGCCTTTCCTATATTCCAGTATTTAAATACTTATTTAAATGTTTACATCATAATTGTAGTCAAGTTGCCTGTCAGATTTGGTGGTGTCAGCTGGTAGCTCAAAAAGGAGAGGATCTTCTGTGGTACACTACTAGAAGGTTTTTTCATCCAGTAAAACTAGTTAATTTGTTCATTTGGGAGATCTAATGCTTAGAAGGATTACCTGTGCATTTCAGATCAAGGAAATGACTTCAGAATGACGATCTACTAGATGCAGTTGATGGATATAAGTTCTTATCGAGTTGTCTTCTGTTCTAGAATAGAAATCTTAAAACATAGTCTATATGCTAGATTGTCTATAGTTATGTTAATAGTGTGCAAAACTGCTTTGAAAGCAACATACCTCTTTAAATAATTACTTCATTTTGTGTATTTTGAATATCTATGTAGTAGGATCAAAATCTTGTATTGGAGAGAAGGTTTAAATATTCAGAGCATAGAGATGTGTGTGGATTAATCACAAAGTGCACAAAACTAGTGCAGTGATGAATGGAAACAAACTTCATAGGAGAAAAGGGAGCATTAGGAGACATGGGATTAATGTTCTCTGCTTTAGATAATAATTAGTGGGGAAAAAATTAAAAAGGTTCATTGCTGAGTTGTTTGTTTTCTTTATTAAGCAGGACACAAATTTGCCACGGTATCTTAATTTTTACTAACTTTGTTTCAGGCTGTTCTTTGAGCCAGTGACAACACCTTGTGGACACACGTTTTGCAAAGGTTGCTTGGAACGGTGTTTAGACTATGCTCCTCAGTGTCCGCTCTGTAAGGAGAGTTTGAAGGAGGTACTGTTGATCAGTAGAACTCAGATAGACAAACATTTTATCATTGTAAAGGCTTCTTAAAATGCAAGGAATTAAGATAGTAGATTGCTCCTAGAAAGAAAACACTTGAGGTAAATATCAATACAAATTGACTAGGTTTGCCTTGAAGTCTTGGAGGAGTCTATGTTTCTGTGATCACCTACTTTATGATATAATTAAATCCTGATTATTAGGAAACTGATAACTATTTATTAAGACTTCTCTGTGGTTTCTATATGCTTTCCATATTTGTGTGGCTTTGTACTGTGGAAAATAAATTCTGGTAAATATAGAAATACGTACTGAATTAGACACCAGAGATGTTGGACTGTAAGAACTAAAACAGAATGTTCAGATATTAATGGTGGGGGTTAAGGAATATAAGAGTTTCAGACCTCTTCATATCTTCAAGTTTTCATGGACATAAATCTCATTTGTCACATATTTCATGCATCATACTTAAAAAAAAAAAAAAAAAAGCTGATGTGACTCAATTCTTCTATTAATATATCAATAAAGAGACGTTTTGTTTTAATTTGCTTACAGTACCTTGCAAGCAGAAAATACAGCATCACAGAGCTACTAGAGGAATTAATAATGAAATATTTGTCTGATGAGCTGTATGAGAGAAAAAGAATTCATGCTGAAGAAACCGCTGAACACTCAAAGTAAGCTTCACACCTTTTACCTAGAAAACCTGAGAAATTAGTATTGGAATGGTATTTGACCGAGACAGGCTTGAGCAGTGGGCCCAGCTGAACCTCATGAGGTTCAGTAGATCCAAGTGCGAGGTCTTACAACTGGATTGTGGCATCCCCTGCTATCCGTACAAGCTGGGGCTGAAAGGACAGAGCACAGCTGTGCTGAAAAGCTCCTGAGGGTACACGCTTCCAGTGGAAGAATTTCTAGATAAACGTTCCCGTTAATAATTACTCCTAGATTCTGCTTAGTTTTTTCAATTGCTAGGCCTTGGTGAGACATTGCAAGTGTAAAAACCATAGCTTGGGATGCATTGTTGAACTTAATCTACGGTGAGCTGGTTACCATGCAGTTATTGTGGCATCAACTAAACCAAAAAGGAGGAAACCAATAAACACTCTTACTGACATAACAACTATAGGACTTTATAGTCACTGACTAGACGTTTCAACTCACTGCTGTTACGTATTCAAATCAATACATAAGTGTTCAGTGACTGTGTTCTTACTGATTATGGAAGTTACTGTAACGTGGTTATTACTGAAGTTTGTAACAGGTGTTTTATGACCTCAAACACATACTGTAATAAAAAAAAATATCTTGGCATTGCTCAGTAATTAGTTTTAAGCTGTGTATTTCTTTTGTCATTCTTTTGAAGCTTGACCAAGAATGTTCCAATGTTTGTTTGCACTATGGCATATCCTACTGTGCCTTGCCCTCTACACGTGTTTGAGCCAAGATACCGACTGATGATTCGCAGAAGTATGGAAACTGGGACTAAACAGTTTGGGATGTGTATAAGTGATTCTCAAAATGGGTAGGTTTACATTCTTAATAGTAAGCTTCTTTTCTGTCTTCTTTTTAAATTAAGCCAATTGTCATCATAGAACTGTGTAATTACTTTCCTTTCTAGTTTTGCAGATTATGGTTGCATGCTGCAAATTAGGAACGTTCATTTTCTGCCTGATGGACGGTCTGTTGTTGATACAGTTGGTGGAAAGAGATTTCGAGTTTTACGGAGAGGGATGAAAGATGGTTATTGCACTGCAGACATCGAGTATTTGGAAGATGTTAAGGTATTCAGAATGCTGTCCAAGTACTTCTACTTTTAGCTGATATCTTAAGAGTTTGATTTGTTTTAATGGCTCTGTCAAATTTTTAGGTCCACTGAACTGTGGAGGATTCAATGTCAGTATAAGGAAGACAGAGAAGATAGCTTTTTTTATTATTATTAAATAAGAAGGAAATATTTTGCTTTTTATTTGAACAATAGTTTGTGAAGCTGCAATTCTTCTTAAGTATCAGAGGATTTCTTTGCAATTCAGCCAGTAGCAACCATGGCTTAGGAGAGTGCAAAAACTTAAAAAGACATTTAATTTCAACTCTATTTAGTTATGTTAGCTTAAAAACTGTGGCAATTTTCTTCATCTGTAATGGTGTTTTCATAATGTTCTTCTGCTAGGTTGTTGATGAAGGAGAGCTGAAGAAACTGAGAGAGCTTCACAACTTTGTTTACAGTCAGGCTTGCAGTTGGTTCCAAAACTTAAGAAACAAATTCCGCACTCAGATTCTTCAGCACTTTGGGCCAATGCCTGACAGGGAGGAAAATATACAGGTGAGACATCATTTCATATCAAATCTTGGGTGCCTGTTTTTTTACTGGGGGAAAGTAGGTGAGGAAAACCAAAATCCAGTTGTTAAAAAGCTGCTAAACATTAAAAGGAAAATACTTTTTTTTCTCAAGTTTAAAGGAAGCAGGACTTCATCTTCATCTTCATCTTGCTTCTCTTATGGAGAGCAGCAAAAGACAATTGGCAATTTTTTTCTGCAATAAAGGATGAGATGCCTGTGTTGTCTTGAAAATGATTGCTTTATCAAACATAAGTGCACTTTATTTATAGACTTCTGTGGTGAAGAGTGATCAGAATAGATCAATTTGGAACTCTCTTGATCTTACAGATCTGTAATACTCTAGTTGATACCAAAATTCAAACCAGTGCTTGTTTTTGACTCGTTTGTCTTTTGATGTCTTCATTGTGTTGGTCAGCATTGTTCATAAGTAACTGACATTTCTCTTATTTTTAGGCAATGCCCAATGGTCCTGCTTGGTGTTGGTGGCTTCTAGCTGTTCTCCCAGTAGACCCCAGATATCAGCTGTCAGTTCTGTCTATGATGTCTTTAAAAGACCGTCTGATAAAAATCCAACATATACTTACATATTTTTCTAGGGACCAGTCCAAGTGACTAACCGCCTGGGTCTTCCTAAAAAGTAAATCTGTTCTGGTTGTAGTAGCAGCTGGAATTTTTGCTGCCTTTGCACATCTAGCACTGGTTTGAGAAGTGTAACAGAACTGCTTTTTCTCTCTCCTTCCCGCCTGCCCAGCTTCTTGAACCGTATGGTTCTTTGAATGCACACTTTCTTCAACTATGAGAGAAGACCACTGATGATTGCACAAAGTCAATCCAGCTAGATATGTTTTTCACATGATCTATTTTACAATTTGCACTATGTAGAAGAGAACGTTTTTGAGACTTGATAATTTTAGCCACTGACTTTTTAAAGATGTGGGAAGCGCAGGACTTAAGGCTGACAGTCTGAGTTTACAACATAGAACAGGTATTAAAGGTTTTGCAAATAAGTTTGCCTCATACAACTGTTCTTTTGCTGTTTGCACAAATATTTGAAATATAGTGTTGAATATCACTGTTGGATATTACTTTTCTTGTTGAATTATCTTGACCCATGAATATGGCACAGATTTTTAAGTTATCTTGTAAATGTATGCATCACAAAACAGGTGACATTACAAACTGTATGCTGAACTGAGAGCCAATTTTAAGGATCAAATGCAAAAAAAAAAAAAAAAAAAAAAAAAGGTACTTCTGTCTAAAAATAATTAAACTGTGAATATGGTTTACATACCTAGGCCTGTACATGTTAAAGAGAAAACTGAAAACTAAACTCTAGTACCAGTTACATTTCTACTGGGCTTTTCAGGCTGGCTGTTCTTCCAGAGCACACACTTAGTTTATAGAGCTTTTAAGGAGAAGTCTTAGAGTGTGCGTGTGTGTATTTGGGGTTGTGCATCCAGGATTTAAAAGCTTAAAGTTTTATTTGAACTCTTTAAGTTGGTGCAAATGTGAGTTCTATGCCTTATATCAATAGTAGAGCACACTGCAGTGGCAAGGTAAGCATCATGCTGCCATTAAGTACTTTTTGTAATTAAAGGTTTGCATATTTGTGAATATGTCTGATACTGGCTTTCTTGTATGTAAATGATTTGTAAAATATTTCTTAAATCTTGCTTTTGCTAATATATTTAATTTTCAATAAAAGCTAAAAGTTTGTAATATTTTAACTTTATCAGAAACTAAAACTAACTTTCATTTTCCATATCCTTCTGTTGAGAAACTTCTGCCACGTACAGCTGCCAGGAGCAGCCGTTCAATTCAGGGTTGCGGGCACTTCATGATATTAAGTAGCATGTATTTCTGCTTACAGTACCTCTCTTACTGATCCTTGGTCAGTCGAGTTTGTTGCTGGGGTCTTTCTGATGTACTGTTGTATCTACTCAAGGTAACTTGAAGTATAAAGTTTTCTTTTCACAGAATTTGGAAGTAATGGGAAATTGTTCCTGCAGAACAACATTTCAGAGGTTTGCTAACCAGGTGTTTTGCTTTGTTCTCTTCTGGTGTTTAAGGTTTGAGATACCACAGGCAACTAAGAATCTGCTGAATTTAGTTGTAACATGGGTTTCAATCCAGGTTAAGTTCGGGTTAATATTTGGGAAGGATTTATTTACATTAATGGAAGGAGGATCTTCTATTCCTATGGTTTGGTATCTTAACAACCTTAGAAGCTTAATTTTTGTATTACCATGATCTCCTTAGGAACGCAGGTGATTTTTTTTTTTTTTTTTTTTTTTTTCAGGAAAATCTAGTGGTAGATTTATGGTTTTTGGTTTTGTTGTTGTTGTTTGTTTTTTTTCATGCAGAGAGCCTTAGTTTTCAAACAGTGTGTTCCCAAACCTGACAGAAGACGTGGTTTCCAGATGTTCTTATTAATTCCCCTGAGTTTTTAATGAAATAAAAATTCTGCCAAGAGCAGATAATGAAGTGTCAATTGGCTGGCACTGTCCTGTGCTTGTGTAAGTTCTACCTCTGGGATTGGGAAAAACATAAGAGAAAATTCAAAGAAATAGAAACAAAAAAAATGAAGTTACTGAGATCAGTACGTACTGCATTAAGACTTTTAAGTATTACTGTCTAATTGCTGTTCCACAAACATCATCACCATGGTTGCCATTGGAAATGATAAGAAATTGAGAACAGAGAGGAAAGATTTTTGAGGCCTCAGGTGTTTGTGGATCAGACTTTGTCACTTTGCAGTTAGAACAGAACAGGCAAGCAAGATGGACTGAAAATTGGCAAAGACCTTTCAGTGTATATCTTAAAGGTATGTACAGTGTTGCACTTTGTGTGTAGTGTTTTGCAGCAAGCAATAAGCTTGTCCTTATTTGATATTTTTTGCTCCATCTTGAAAGCATGAGAGGCTGTTCCAGCAAGCGAGTAGATAGGAGCTATGTTTTTGAGGATCATTGGATCTGTGCTGAAATCTCTCCATAGCTCTCTTATTTAAAGTGTTTTTCTCAACTGGGAAGGAAAAGGGAGAAAAAAAAAAAAGATGTTCAGTGCTAGGATGTAACTTGTTCTAAAGCCCTCACCAAAGCAAAGTGTCCAGTGAGATCTGAGCCTTGATTTTTGTTGAAGGTGTACTTTCCCAGCTGCTGCTGACAGTAGCTGCTTTCACAAATAAAGGCCAACAAAATGATAGCACTGTGAATTTGAAAAAACAATTACATCAGTGATAATCACAAGTGATGTAGTTCAAGTGCAGTAAGAGAGCTTGCCATAACACAATAGGCATGTCTAGATAGGACAGACAGGAAAAAGTTGATGAAGATGACTTCATACTTCCAGTTGACAACTTGTGTTTTGTTAAGATGAAAGAATGTTTTGTGTTTCTTTTATATATATATATATATATGTATGTATGTATGTATATATATATATATGTATGTATGTATGTATATATGTATATATATGCATATATATAAATAATATTATATGTAATATATATGATATATTTTATATATGTATATATATATATTTTATATATGTATATATATATAT